ATTTTGTGCGAAATTGATGGCCTGGCCCTAGGGGCCTCCAGCCCTCCACAATAAACACGCATGCTCTTTGAAAACAAAACTTACATGGATGTTGTCCTGAGACCAGAAGAAATGACAATTAAATGTTGAGCTATGTATTGTGGACCTACCTTTTATGTGGACTTTGAGCATCTACAGACGGACGCCCCAAACCGGTCTCAAACGCCCGGGTCGCCTGCCCGTTCACTAACCGGTCATGATTATTTGACCCAGACGAACGCCTCAAACGGGTCTCAAACGCCCGGCTGACCGGCACCCCTCATATCCCCTAAATATGGGGCGGATATGGGATGGCCGGGCACGCCCGGGCGCGTCCTCCTGCCAAGCCCGGCCCACCACCAACCCTCGCGGTTGTCCCACAAAAAAATCCATCTGGCTCATCGCTCCAAAACCCTATCTCACTCTCTCTGCTCTCTAACTCCGTCCTCTCCTCTCCCCGCATCGATTCCGATCGAATCCGGCGCAATGTCGACCCCCGGCAGCCGCTCCAACTCTGAGCTGGATTCGGATTATGAGCTTGCCCTCCGCATCGCCTTGGAGCGATCCAAGGTCGAGACCGGGAGAAGCTCCGGATCTGCAGCCTCGCCGCAGACGCAGATTCCCAGTCGGCGCAGGCCCCTCCCGGCCCGTGCGCAGCTCCGACAGGCGGCCTGCACAATCCGCGCCTCCCCTACGTCGTCCCGTTCCCTTGCCGGGTTCTGCTCCCCCCACATGGGGAGCGGTGGGTACTTGTGCCCGCCCCGCCAGCCCGGACGGGCACACCAGAATCATAGGTGCTCGCCGCCAGCAGCAGCGGTGAAGGGAAAGGAGGAAGGCAGAGCAGTCCGTGCACTGTCATCGCGGGATTCAGGCGTAGCCCGACGAGGACGTGCGACTCCTCGAATGGGTCTACTGCCGGTCACTTACGATCGCGGAGATGGACACGCGATGGCTCCGCCGGAAGAACGCCAAGGCGCTCCGGATTGCCATTGAGCAGCCCGAGCGCGAGGCGGCTCGGCTCGTGAAGCTCAAGCGACAGTAGGGCAGGGAGGTCCGGCGGCTGAAAGGGCTCATCATCCTTTCCGACACCTCCGACGATGACGACCACCACAGCTCCTCGTCCGACGATTCGGACGATCCGCCACCAGCCGCCGATGCCTACAGCTGCGCCGGCGACCGGAAGGGCAAAGGGCCGGCGAGGAAGTGGTGAATCTCCGCCGTCTCCATCTTCAATTTCAAATTTTTCGTAATCTAGTTTAAACTTGTCCGCCGTTTATCTGAATTATGTGAACTTTGACGATCCTTTGGACATCCGGCGGTGATCTTTTGGCGATTGGAATGTGCATTTCTCTGTCCGATTTTATGTTTGTGTGATGATCTACATTGTTTTTAGCTATGTTGCATACTAGTATGGATACGGGGGACCGGATATTAGATATACGGATGTGAATGACAGAATTTAAGAAGTGCCCGTGGACGCGCGCGTCCACGGGCGTGTGCGGGCTCGGATTTGCAGGTCGCGGCTGTAGATACTCTTACAAATAGTGTGGACCTGTTATTATTTTGGTAGGCCTATTTGACAGTACGCGCCCATCATTTTACCATTTACAAAGAACTTTCTTGCGACAGTAATTTAGATTTAACTTAATTTTGCCAGTGTGTTTTTCCTTTCTAAAAAAGCTCTAATCTCCTGGATGAATCCGACGGCCGGAAACCTAGGCATAGGTAGCTCCGAGAGTACTACGTGGGATGGATCGATACGATCGAATCATGGGGGCGATGAGCTGTCCAAGATGCATCAAGTGGCACACGTGGTCCGCCGGTGAGGTGTACACATTCAACCAGTGTGCTCCTCGTGGTCCATTAGTAAAAGGGAACACACACTCAAATAATTTATGCAGGTGTGTACCCGGCCAACTCAGATCAAATACAAAATGTTAGAATCTGCGTAGCTACTAGAGCTCCACGTCGCCCCATATGATTAATTTTCTCAGATTTATGAGAAACTACGCTCCTCCCCCGTGGTTCCCAATATTCACACAGCATGTGTGCATGTCCCTGTCGATCCTCTTGGGACATTAGGGTTGGACAGCCCTTGACAGTGTGTAACTTAGCTCAGTGCACAATTACCTTTGCATCATGTTAATTATACATAATTATTCATCTGCATCTTTCCTTCCTGAACTTGCATGGTTTGATATAAACTTGGGCATGAGAAGCCCTGCTTAGTGGCCCTAACCCGAAGCCCGACGATTGGGCTGGGCTCGGGCTCTCTATTGCGGCCCGATCTGAAAGCTCAAAAAATGGCCCAGATCAGCAAAAAATAGGATTTTGAGGAAATGTTTATATAATACTCCATTACCTTAATTCAAAACTACGTTACTTTCTTTGGATCGGAAGTGAGTACAATATTTATTTACCACAAAAAGAATTACAACAATTAAAATAATATTATAAATAGAGATTGTGATGTTTATTTATCTGGGCCTATGTTAGGCTCCGGCTCGGGTTTAGTGGGGTCGGGTTTCCTAATGTGCAAATGTCTCTTCTATTTTCAAGGACATCGATGCTTAGTTGGGTTTGAATAACTCAAGCCGAGCTAGCTCGTTATCCACAAATCTTCTGCTTAATTTGGCCCTTAATGTTCTTTCATCTTTCGAATGTTGATAAGAACATAGACTAGCTCCATGGTCTTTGGTGGATCTTCATGGATTCAGTCATGGTGCGTCTATGTTCGTATGTCTACAGGTTGGATTCTTTTGATTTACACTTCTCTTCATCGGCGGCTGGTGATGTTCTGGTGCGCTGGTTTTATGGGGTCTTAGCACGACGACTGATCTCCACTATCTACTACAATGAGTTTTGCCCGGCTCTTGTGAAGGAGGGGTGATGACGGCGGCACGCCTTCGGCTCGCTCCAGTGCTTGTAGTTGTTGCTTGGTGATCAATTGACCTGGATGTAATTTTTATTATTTCTAGTGTTCTTTGTACTGTCATAACAATTGATGAATAGATTGAAAGTTTTATCGCAACAAAAAATGTAGACTAGCTTTGGCTTGCTAAAAACGATAAACTAGTGAGCTGGAAAGATTGGCCGGTTAAGATTATGGCCTTAGATTTCGTGGGGTTGGGCTTTCTAAAGGCCACATCAGCAAATGTTAATACTATTTTCAAGAACATGATAGCTTAATTGGGTTCGAATAAATCGACCGATCCGTTGGATCGCCAAGCACACAAAGCTAGTGAGCTAGAAGGATTGACCCTTATGATTATAGCCTTAGGTTTAGCAGGGCCAGCCTTTCTAAAGGTCTGATAGGTAAATGTCTTTTCTATTTTTAAGAACATGAAAGCTTAATTGATTTCGGATAAATAGGGCCGAGCTAGGGCGTTATCCACCCATCATCTACTTAATGCGCCTCTTAATGTTCTTCCATCTTCAAAAGATGGATAAAAACTAGATTGGCTTTGGCTCGCCAAGCACGCTAAGCTAATGAGCTGCAAAGATTGATCCATTACAATTCTAGCCTTTGGTTTAGTGGGTCGGGCTTTCTAAAGGCCTTATCGGTATATGTCTCTTTTATTTTTAAGAACGTGAAATCTTAATTGAGTTCGAATAAATTGATCTGAGCTAGCTCGTTATCCACTCATCGTCTACTTAATTCACCTCTTAATGTTCTTCCATCTTCTAAGTGAGGATAAGAACATAGACGGGTTTTGGCTAGCCAAAAACGACAAGCTGATGAGCTGGAAAGATTGGTCCGTTACGATTATAGCCTTAGGTTAAGTGGGTTCATGCTTTCTAAAGGCCATAGCGACAATTGTCTCTTATTTTTTTTTACGAAAATGGGAGCTTAATTGGGTTCGAATAAATCTATCTAAGCTAGCTCGTTATCCACCCATCGCCTACTCAATTCGCCTCTTAATGTTCTTCCATCTAATTGTGGATAAGAACGTAGACAGGTTTTGGCTCGCCAAACACGATAAGCAGATGAGCTGGAAAGATTGTCCGTTACGATTATAGCCCTAAAGACCCGGTGAAAAGTAAACAAAAGGCGAATTGTGCAGACAACCAAAAAAACCTCGTCGCTAGCCAGCGTCGCAATGCACGAGTATCCGCAGGGAATGCCTTTGTATTCTTTTCATCTAATAATTAATTTTTTATTATTTTCTCAAGCAAAATCCTAGGAGTGTTCAATAGAACCATAAAAATGTGGTGGTGATCTATCAGTAAAAAATAACCACCTGTCCTCAAAATTCTTGAAAACATCATCGAAATTACATAGTTTATGTATACTATAATTTTTACTGAAGCAGTAGATAGTTTGAAATAATTGACTTTCTTTTGTTTGCTCCTTATAATTTGCCCCCAACAAAAATACCAAATAAAGCTAGGCGACTTGAGATAACAAAAGGAAGAAAAAAAGGACGCCCAAATGCGGAATGGTTTTAAGGATAACCGGCTGCCACCGGCTACTTCCGGCGACCCCGCTTTCTATATATACGGGCCTCTTTTTCCACCCTCTCCACACACCCTCTCTACTCCACCCTTTCGTCCCCGTCTCCGGCCGTTTCCCACCGCCGCTCGCCGGAGCTAGCCAAGCTTTTGTTGCATATATCCTTTACTCCAAAAGTTTCCACGTTTCTGACACCGTCGGCCGGATTGGCCGTCGATGTAAAAGTGTTCTTCTTGAATCGTGAGGTTAGATAGCGGCCGTAGGAATAGGATCGTCTTGCCATCTCCGGCGGCGTGTAGGATGCCCATCGAAGATTGGGACTGAGGCGTCGGCGGCGGATAAATGTACCGCAAAAACGCGTCGGCACTAACCTGCTTCTACCTGTACCTCCTCTGGTTCTTCTTCCTGAAAAAGTAGCAGAGCAAGCGATCGATCGAGCCAGCGACTCGTGATTGAGATTGTTTGAGTTTGATACATCTATAGGTGTTCTCGTTGATTGATTGGAAGTTGGAGAGAAGTGATCTCGGCGATGGAGCTGGATCTGAACGTGGAGGAGAAGCCGGCGGCGGTGGCGCGGAGCGACTCCGGGACGTCGGAGTCGTCGGTGCTGAACGCGGAGGCGTCCTGCGGCGGGGGCGCCGCGCCGGCCGAGGAGGCCTCCAGCTCGACGCGCCAGCCGGCGCCGGCGCCGCGGGCGGTGCTCGAGTTCAGCATCCTGAGGAGCTCGGCGTCCGCCGAGGGCGAGAACGACGTCGGCGCCGACGACGACGAGGAGGAGGCCACTCCCTCGCCTCCACCTCCGCCGCCGCGGCACTACCACCAGCACCTGCTGCAGCCGCAACAACTCGTCACCCAAGAGCTGTTCCCCGCCGCGGCCACCGCCGGCGGTCCGCCGCCGATGTCCGTGCCGCAGCATTGGGCCGAGCTCGGCTTCTTCCGCCCCGCGGCGCCGCCTCCGGACATGAGGATCCTGCAGATGCAGCAGCAGCAGCTGCAGGTGCACGCGCAGCCCCCGCCGCCGCCGGCGGCCCAGCCGCCGGTGGCCAAGAAGAGCCGCCGCGGCCCGCGCTCCCGCAGCTCGCAGTACCGCGGCGTGACCTTCTACCGCCGCACCGGCCGCTGGGAATCCCATATCTGGTCCGTACACAAATCCCTCCAACCACCCCCAAAAAGAAACCCAATTTTTTTCCTCAAATATCACCAACTGATTGTTTCAGTTCTTACAAATTTTCTTGCTCCTGTTCATCGCTAAATGCAGGGATTGCGGCAAGCAGGTGTACTTGGGTGGATTTGACACTGCACATGCTGCTGCAAGGTACAAATTTAATTAAGCAGGAGTACATAATTGTGATGTGATCATCACCTGAACTACCTGTACTGAAACCCTCAAGTCATGTCATTTCACCGTGCCAAATTGACCTTGGGATGTTCCGCAGGGCGTACGATCGAGCGGCGATCAAGTTCCGTGGCGTCGACGCCGACATAAACTTCAACCTCAGCGACTACGAGGACGACATGAAGCAGGTGATCGGCAAAGCCACCAACCAGTGTTCCTCATCCAACCAAATAGTTCAGATGCAGAGTGCATTAGTACTGTTGTTGAAACTGATGAACTGAAGAAATTCTGACTGTGTGTTGTTTGGTGGATGATCTGGATCAGATGAAGGGCCTGTCCAAGGAGGAGTTCGTGCACGTGCTGCGGCGGCAGAGCACCGGCTTCTCGCGGGGCAGCTCCAAGTACAGAGGCGTCACCCTGCACAAGTGCGGCCGGTGGGAGGCGCGCATGGGCCAGTTCCTCGGCAAGAAGTAAGAACAAATTCCCCTTTCCATTTTGAACCGATTTTTCATTTCTTACTTCATGGCATGTTGCACTGAATGCACTTGTGAAGTTAACATATGCATCTCTGGATGTGATTGTGCTGCTGCCTATCTGATCTGAATCTGAATCTCGTAAGAGAGAGTCATGATCAGATCAAACAAGATCCCATGATCCATTAGGAATGTATTTTTAAGCAGTAGTTCATAGGTTGAAAATACTAAGATGCATAGATCAGGAAAAATAAAATGAAATAGTAGTAGGCAGTGGATAGGGAGTTCCTCAAACGACATGTTTGGGTGCAGGTACATATATCTTGGGCTATTCGACAATGAAGTAGAGGCTGCAAGGTTCCTGAGCTTGGATTCTGCCCATTGATGCACAATAAAAAAGTTGTTTCTTTTTTCTCCATCAACCGAAGTACCAACTCGAATCTCTTCTCTTTGTTTCTCTTCTTCTTTTTCTTGTCCGGAAAAATCAGGGCTTACGACAAGGCGGCGATCAAATGCAACGGTAGGGAGGCCGTGACGAACTTCGAGCCGAGCACCTATGATGCGGAGCTGCTCAGTGAGGTTGCTGCTGAAGGTAACAACATGATGAGAATTTTGATTGAATTTATTTTTCATGTTTGCATCTGTGATTTGGCAAAAATTCTGCGTTGGAGATTAGCTGATGAACTTGAATTTGATTATGACGATTGGCAGGCGCAGATGTCGACCTCAACTTGAGCATATCTCAACCAACTTCACAAAGTCCCAAAAGGGATAAGAGCAGCCTTGGCCTGCAACTCCACCATGGATCATATGAAGGCTCTGAACTAAAGAGACCAAAGGCAAGTACAAATGCTTTCTTTAAAAGATTCGGCAACCAGTCCAATTTCACTGCTGGATTTGTATGGCTACCTGATCCACTATGTGATTAATAATTGAGTTTCACTATCACCATGCTAGTGACTGCAGTATGATGCCCTATCGTAGCAAAGTCTTTTTCCTAGTTTACTTCATAGGAACTTCTACAGCTATTGTCTAAATTAAATTTCACCGTCGCCTGACCCACCGCCCAAATTATATTCACCACACAGTAACATGCTTACTTTTCCTGCCTGACTATGGTTATCTATCTATTTTTCATTCAGAAATTAAATAGATTGAGAAGATTATTAGTTGACATTCAACTGGAAAATATCGTTTGCGTGTTATGCAGGTCGATGCGCCCCCTGAGATGGTCGCAATCCCTCATCGATACCCCCTTCTGACCGAGCATCCACCAATCTGGCATGGCCAATCATATCCCATCTTTTTAAATAATGAGGTGAGGTGATACTAAATTTTAAAGCTCCTTTCACCTAAAATTTTCAAGGTGGCCCTGATGACGCCCGATATGGATCGGACCGTACATATTGAGCATGTCGACGCCACTCTGTTTTGCAATCAGGACTGACTGATGCAGACTGATAGTGCCCTTGCAGCTGTTACTGTTGTACTTAGCGTCACTTAAGCATTTTCCTGTGTGGCTGCAGTTATAGCTCAAGTTGGCCTGATTTTCATAGTCCACCCGTTCCATGTCGAGTTCAGAGTCATTAATTCCTAGCACAATTTTCATATGCAGGATCTTGAGTCCTCACAAACTGTCTAATTGAGTTCAGAGTCGTAGGATATGTATAGTATAAATATGCTGATTTTTTTCCTCCTAAAGGAACATCCTAGAGAGTTGACGATTTAGATTTAGCCCACTCCAATAATTTGGTCAATATTCCTTCATGTGGCTAAGAACGTTTTGGTGTTCTATTTTGTATGGTATGACCACTATTCAGAGGTTTTATTTATTTATAGCGAGAAAAGAGATCTGGATCGTACCAATACTATTTTAATAGTATGAGTACGGCTCACAGCTTTACTTGGAGGCAAAAGAAAGCTAGCAAGTCGGCACCTTATAGTAATAGGATTAGTACGCAGTTTGCCATTTGGTTTGAAAACCCAAAATTGGTTTGCCATTCCTTTTCTTAAATTATCCTCTCAGATTCCTCAACTACTAAACTTCAAGAGTATCTTCACATGTGTCATTTTCTTATTTTATTTTTCCTGGAAAGCAAGTTCAGCTGGACATATCTACCTCACCTTTATGTCGATCAAAGCGATAGGAATTAGACCAATTCTACAAAAGAAACAAAGAACAATCCAATTTCTGCCAATTTTCTTGAGTTTATCCTACATGAGCATGCTAAATTATTCTTCATTTATATATGCAGGATGCAGCCAGAGATCATAGCAGGAGGCCAGAGGTGGCCACAGGGGGTGTTCCAACCTGGGCATGGAGGGTGAGCCACCCTCCTCCAACACAACCCATGCCACTCTTCTCGTCGTCATCGTCCGCTGCAGCATCATCAGGATTCTCCAAAACCGCCGCGGCAGCTGCCCCCGGCGCCCCATCGGCCTCATTCCGGTTCGACCCGATGGCGCCATCATCATCGTCAAGCAACCAACACCACCACCACCCCCGCTGAAAAAGAAGCCATACTGTAAATTTTCTGGGAAGCCAGTATCTTTTTGCCCCTCCGGCGTTTCAGCGTTTTCGGTCTTGCGCCGGGGCGGTTTCAGGTAGTGGATTGGATTCATGACTGTATTTCCCATGCTGCCCAAAGTGAAATGTCACTTCTTTTCTGCGCTCTCTGCAGCATTGGTCCCATAATTCTTGATGTCAGATACTAACGTCAGCTCATCTCACCATCTGAGATGGATTTATACCATTGTTGTAGACAAACTTGTCACTGAAATTCAGCAGTACCGATACCATAAGATAAGAGGAACCTTTACTTTGGGAATTATTCCAGCCCCTTTTCTTGGATGTCAGTTGGCCCTTGTTTTTGCTCTACAGCCAACTACCACTGCTGAATTGTACTGTTCTTTGTTCTTGCGCTGGTACAAGATTTGGCTCTAACAGATGCCAAAGCATCTGGTGCAAGAATATAAATACTTGAGATAACATCTTGAATAATTATGGACTTCATGATATTGAAAAGAAGTAATCATGCATGACTCCTAAATTCTGTAGACTTTCTACAAAGTATGCCTAGAAATGTCAATTACTAAAAATGTTGATTTCCAATGGAAAAATATCTCTCTGAAATGGATGGTTTCCAAAAAAGTATGAATGGTTACATCAATAAAAATAGCATGGAACAAAAGCAGATACTTCAGAAGCACTAGAACTGTAGAACAGTTGGACTATGACAGTTTCCTGTGCAATTTTCTCCAGCAAAAATCCAGAACTGTTTGAAGACAGTAGCATGGAGTGACACATGACCTCGTCTGCTGTTAAATCCGACGGGACGCTGCAGTGATTTTGTCAGGTAAAAGCTTCTCTGTCGGGGATGGTGAGATATACCCGACGGCAGCTGTCGGCGTCGATCGAGTCATCGGTCGGCCAAAAGTTTGGAGAGGGAATCCGTCACGTGAAAGGGCACATGTTTTTGACAGCCACCATATGCAGTAGTAAGATCACTGCTAGATAAGATAAAGATCTTTTTTTGAAAGAGATGCATATAGATAGATAGATGCCCTCCAAATATGCGACTGAATCGAGAATCGTGCACACTCGCATGCATTTGTTCCACCAGAGGGCATGTGCGAAACAGATGAATTCAATACGAATTTTCGTAGGAAACAAGTTTACTTTCGCGGGAAATATCAAAATCCTTTGGTCCAAACGGGTCTCGGTTTCGTTCCTTTCGAGAAGAAAGAACTGGAAGGTGCATGCATGGTACTAGATCTACTGCCATCCTCCAATCCCATGATTGTATTGCTTTTGTTTACTTGCTTCGATATGCCTCTGAAGGTGTTCATCAAGCAAAATTTGAAGCAGACAAGTAGGAAATGGTTTTTGCTGGTTTTGACGAGGAAGGAAGGACCACATCAACTTTACCATGGAAGCAACTTGAGATTATATATAATGGCACGAAACCCCTGCCAAGGGAATCACTTGAAAGGCAAGGCAAATTTGTCCCAACAGAGACTGGTTCACCTAAATAAAATTCAAGGCCATAAGGCTAATTTGTTTAGTTATTTCATAGTACGTACTCAAGAAATTAAGTTCCATAAAATTTCCCCCTTTAGCTGTGAAAACACCAAGTGGTGCTTTTGCGGCTTTCTAGCATAATGGCTCGGGTGCCCGTAGTTTTTCCTAAAATAAGAAGAAAGCTATTGGATTTTGCGTGATTTTCAGTTCTTGTTTGTATCCTCCACTTTTTACAGTGAGAATTGGGAAAATAATATATTTTGAGATGTTCTCATCAATAATAAGAAAGAATCTAGTCCTATTAAGACTCACAAGCACATCGTCAAATGTCAAAATCCTAGAAAATAAAGAAAATTCACACAAATGACACATCCAATCTGTGTTTGCGAGAGTCAAACTGGTCATCAGCTGAGGAGAAACAAAATATCTGCTAAGCTTGATTTGGTGGCTACAATAATGCAACTTAAAGAATCAAGCGAGGTACAATTTCTAAATGGCTATGATAACTGTCGTACAGGTGTCGACGTGTAACATTATAGTATTTTGATGCCTTCGTCAGTTCTGTCATTTCATTATTCGTTCCAAGAAAGGAGGCCTAAAAATATTCATGCAACAGCTCCATTAGATCACCGACAAACGACCATCAGGTACCATAGAAAAACAAGCTGAAAACCTAAAGTACAACCACCCATCCCCAACACCAATACACCACAAGCCCCCAACCATCAAATTAATTAGTGCAATCTTTATGGTATGTTTAATTTTCATTTGTGAAAAAACTTCTTTTTCTTCAGTGAAAATAACAAGTTTGACCCACTGAATTTGGCTTTTAGGGAGTAAGATGCACAATTATATGGTACATATACAACTTTTGTGGAACAAAAAGCTATAGTGTAGAGCAATCATCAGCATTAGACCTCGTAAATTTGTACTTGCTGTTGAGGCTTCAATGTCAATGACAGTTTGTAACGGTCTCGAAAGAAGAAGTGCTCTTATGCGTAGCATCGACAAAAGTAAAATAAATAAATAAAGCCCAATTTGGGTTTTTTAAGGATTGAGGATGTCCTTGCTTTTGTGCTTCCATGTGGTGGGTCTCTCTCTCTCCTTTTGGCATGATTCCTTTGAGAGGAAATATATGTATATCTTTGGCCTGTCGGAATTGCGTCACTGCTTACGTTAGTTCGCAGCCTGATTGTAATAATCTTATAGCATGACATGGACTAGAGGGAGATTAAAGTATGAATGGTGGGCGCATCAGTACTATATTAGGCCTGATGGCATTGTTTATGCTGGAGGTTGATGGTGATTCCTTGTTAGACTATGTATAGCTTCTGTACCTATGTACGTATTGTAACAGAACCATTATATATAATGAGATAAGCCACCCCTAGAGGGTTGTGCTGGTTCCCAAAACTTATTGTCTTACATGGTATCACGCTAGGTTACGATCGCTTCCGCTTCTAAACCCTAATACCCGCACCGCCGCCGCAGCCGCCGCCGCCTTCACCGCCGCCGCCGCGCCACCGATCGCGCCACCGCCATGTCGAGCGCCGCCACCACCGGTTCCACTGCTGCGGGCTTCCTCCCGGCCTCTCTTGCGGCTCTGCTCAACCTCCCGCTCGATGTCGTCTCCGTTCCCGCTCCGATCGGGACAAGGAGCATCGGCTCCGTCTTCTCCACGCCGCCGGCGCCCTCGCTCGGGCGTGATCTCGTGGTCCACACCGCGGCGCCGCCGTCCGCTGCGGACTCCGCAGGCGTCGTCCCGCCGCTCCTGCCGCAAGCGGATCACACCGCCCCGCTGGCGGGGTTGGCGGCGTCCGCCCCGGCTGCGGGCCTTGCGGCGTCCGCATCGGCCGTGAGCTTTGCGGCGCCCGCCCTGGCTGCGGTCCTGCCTCCTCCCGCATCGGCTTCGGTGCCTCCGGCTGCCTCCATGGTGTTTGCACCCCAGGCAGCCTCCTCGATGGGATCGTCTTCGCCGCCGCCGTTTCACTTCGGTCATCTCATCACCATCAAGCTCTCCGCCGACAACTACATCTTCTGGGGTGCGCAGGTTCTCCCGCTCTTGGGGAGTCACTACCTGCTAGGCTACGTCGACGGATCGCTTCCCTGCCCACCCGCGCTGGTAGACAGCGTGCACGGTCCGGTCTACAATCCGGCCCATCGCGTCTGGACGGGGCAGGACCAGGCGAACCTCTCCTCCATCCAGGGGTCGCTCTCGCCGGCAGTTGCCGGCCTTGTTGTCTTCGCGAAGACGTCTCATGAGGCCTGGACCATCCTTGAGCGCACCTTTGCAGCGCAGTCCCAGGCTCGTGTCTCTGCACTCCGTCGTCAGCTTGGAGAGTGTCAGAAGCTTGACTCCACTGCCACTGAGTTCTACAACAAGGTCAAGGGCCTCGCCGACACATTGGCCTCCATTGGACAGCCCCTAACCGACTCCGAGTTCAACTCGTTTATTGTCAATGGTCTTGATGAGGAGTATGATGCCTTAGTCGAGATCATCAACGAGCGGGGCAACTCGACACCCATGCTAGCACACGAGGTTTTCTCTCGGCTCCTTCTCACTGAGCAACGGGTCGAGACTCGCCGCACCAGGGGCACTGGATCCCTCTCGGCCAACGCCGCCACCAAGGGTGGCCGCTCTTCTTCATCACCCCGGTCTCCCTTGGGGCTGCCACCGTCGCCCACCTCGGCCCCCCCACCTACTGCGACCTTATCGGGGGCTGGTGGTCCACGTGTGTGCCAGCTTTGTGGCCGCGATGGGCACTGGGCCTCCAAGTGTCATAAGCGCTTCCAGCGAAGCTTTCTTGGTCTTGGCAATGACGGCAAAGATACATGCAACAATGCCCGTCAGGTCGCCATGGCTGATCGTCCCTCGCCACAGAAGCAACAGGGACACACTCAGTCCTACTCCATCGATCCACACTGGTACATGGACTCTGGGGCGACAGAGCATCTGACCAGCGAGATGGGGAAGCTTCACACTCGTGAACCCTATCATGGCTCCGACAAGATCCACACCGCCAATGGAGCAGGTATGCACATCTCTCATATTGGTCAAGCATCTCTTCTCACTAGACATGCCAATAGGAGTCTTCAGCTTCGCAATGTTCTTCGAGTTCCATCTGTGACCCGTAATCTTCTTTCAGTTCCTAAACTCACACGTGATAATAATGTGCTTTGTGAATTTCACCCTTTTGATCTTTTTATTAAGGATCGGGGCACGAGGGACATTCTTCTTAGTGGGCGGTTGTGCCAGGGCCTCTACCGTCTGGAGCATCCTGGCGTCGCCCGTGTTTTCAGTGGAGTTCGGGTCTCTCCGTCACAGTGGCATGCTCGTCTTGATCACCCGGCCACACCTATTGTCCGTCATATTTTGCGTCGTCATGAGCTTCCTAGTTTGTCTAGTAATAAAGATGTAGCAGTGTGTGATGCTTGTCAGCAGGGGAAGAGTCATCAACTTCCTTTTTCGGAGTCCAGTCGTGAGGTGAA